AGCAGATGTTTAAGGGACAACTGGTGTATTATGAGCACTGTTTGCTCCTGTCCCCTGATATTTGGTGCTTCTTCCACTCCTGCAGTGCCAGCACAGCTCATTCCTGTTGGGAATGAGATGAGGACAGGTAAGGAGGTGATGGAATCAAATTTCCAACCCTTCTGCTGAATTTGGGGGTTTTGGGGGCTCAGTCAATCCCTCCAGGACTGAGCCAGCACCAGCCTTGTAAAGCCATCCTCTCCAGGAGGGCTTGGATGTGTTAATTATTTATTTGATAGGTTTAATCCTGGAGGAGGCGAACTCCTGCCAGAATCCTGTAAATCAGGGCCATTCTTTTGCACATCCTTCCTGTTTCAGTGGTGACTGTGACACTTGGCCATGGAGTCAGGGCTGCAGGTGGTTGGTGACACAGGCAGAGGTGGCAGGAGCAGAGCACAACCCGGTAGAGAGGCAGCTGGTGGGACTGGGGAGGGCATTTCTACCCTGGGAGCTGCCAGTCCATCTCAGATGAAGATATTTTGGATATGCAGACCACCTGTGCTTCTGAGTTTCCTTGGGGCAGGGTGGTGGTGAGAAATATTCCCTCATTTGCAAGTGGGAATTCGGCGTGGGATGATGAAGTGGTTGATCCCAGCCCAGCATTCCAACTGCAGGGCCCCCATTCCCTTCCAAGTTACCTCTGGCTGTGACTTTCTGGGCTGGATTTTAACTGCCCAGGATGTGAGAATTGCTGATATCATTCCCACCTCTTTTAGACCTTCCCTTTGCCTCTCCCTGCTATCCCAGCCACCGCTAGAAGTGAATTCCTGCCCTCACCTCCCCCTTCATTCTGCAAAGTCGTTAACGTGAAATTGCCAGGCAGAGAAGCTCCAGAGAGTTTAACGTGGCTACTTTATATTGCTGCTAGGAGTGTCTGGAATTGAAAATAAACCTGTGCTTGCAACTCCTGACCCTTTCATCATAAATCCAAACTTCCTTACGTGTCTGTCTTTGCTGCAGAGGATGACTGTATTTCTGTATTTCTGGCTCTACAAAGGCCTGTGTGCAGCTGAGAGCCACAGCTGTGCAGGAGCTGGGTGCTGTTTATTTGGAGGGTTTTGCTTGCTGGCATTTTTTTTTTTTTTTTGGCAGATGATCCCCCAGAGGAAATAACCCAAATATGTTCAATGAAAATAGTTTTCGTGTGGCTTGCTGGCCTTGCTCCTGTTCCTGGGGGAGGGCTGTCCACATGGCAAACCAGCAATGCTCTGATTGCTTCTCTGGCACCCAACCAGCAGCACACAGAGTTCTAGAATTGTTTGGGTTGCAAGTGACCTAAAGACCATCAAATTCCACCCCCTGACAATGGGCAGAGACACCTTCACCTATCCCAAGTTGCTCCAAGCATTGTCCAACCTGGTCTTGGGCACTCCCAGGGATCCAGGGGCAGCCACAACTTCTCTGTTCCAAGGCCTCCCCACCCTCATCATAAACAATTTCTTCTTTAAACCTAGTGTGACTTTACCTTCTTAAAAAAATCTGCCCCTTATTTCTGTGTAAGTCCTTCTTATAAGGATGTGTTCTCCTGTCAGTAATGTCAGAGGAAAAAAGATGAAATAAATAAGGCTTAAATTTAATTTTGTGTCTGTGTGAGATTATCAGCCCCATTAAGGGCAGGTCTGAGTTCAGCTGGAGTCCAATCAGGTGCAGGAGGAGCTACCCAGTGGCAATTAGATTAATGAAACCTCAACAGGTTGGAGACAAATCAGCCACAGGTGTTTGTGTTTAATGCTGTGATTTTGGGGGCTGTGTCCTCCCAGGCTCCTGCCTGGATTGGGAGGGTCTGGATGGAGTAGAAAGGCAGCCAGAGGATGCTGTGGCTCCTTTCTGGTCTCTGCTTCAGTGGAAGGGCTGGTTTTGGCTGTACTCCTCTGACTGTGCCAGCTCTGCTGGATTCGTCTCATTTCATCGTTTGTCTGAGTAATTTTCTCTGGTTTGGGATGGAGCTTTGCACCCTGCACCTTGGGTAAGAAGTCTGCTGGCACTATGAAGCTTTTCATCTTCTTGGTGGTGAAGAAAGCTGTCTTGTTTTCCTTGGAAACTTTCCTCCCTTTCCCCTCTTTCTGCTCTTTGGGATTTTCCTGCTTTCAGTCTGAGGTGATTCTTTCCAGCTTGTCAGAGTGAGCACTTGGGCAGTTTGATTGTACCCCTAAAACACAAATTGTGCTCATCTCTGAGCTTAAGGGTTTCTGGGCAAGTTGGGCCTGACTTGGAGACCTGGACTCTTGGATCTTACATCCACAGGAAAATTCAGCTTGGAGGGACCTCAAGGGGCCACACAGTTGGGCTGAGGGCATTGAAGTTTGGGGCCGATTTTTGTGGGTGGAAGTTTGGGGCCGATTTTCGCGGGCGGAGATTTTTGGGGCCGGTTTTCGCGGGCGGAAATTTTTTGGGGCCAGTTTTCACGGGCAGAAATTTTTTGGGGCCGGTTTTTGTGGGTGGAAATTTCTGGGGCCGAGGGGATCACCTGGAGTAGTTTTGTGGCCACCTGGCTCTGTTGGAAGGTGCATTTCCAGTTTGGTTGGGTGGTTCCTCCTCTGGCACACCTCCTTTCCCTGCTGATTATGGATTTCCTTGTACTGAAGCTGGGTTGCAGATTTATCTTGGACTTGTTGCTGTCATTTTGGACTAGCAGCATCCTGCCTGCTGCTGCTGGAGGCTGCTGATCTGCTCCCTAATTGCTCTTTTAGCTCTGCTAAAAAGGGCAGTCCACAAACACTAATGACTCCTGCAGGCCAGAGCTCAGGCTAGCTGATCCCTCCTAATGGCCCTTTGAATTCCTCCTAGGTTTTATGTATTTATAAACACATTTAGGACGCATTATTCTTCTATTCAGCAAAACCATCTGTAATTATTGCCCGTAATTGCTGGGTGAGGATAAAATGAATCAACTATCAGGCTTTTACTGCTGGTGAACTCACTTTTTTTAACTGTGTTTCCAGGAAGATGTGAGCTCAAAGAAAATTGTCATGGTCCTTTAATTCTGATATATCAAAACTAGGCAACCTTCCTGTACACTTAATTATTGCTTCTCTAGGCCTTAGCAAAAATCTTAAGTGTTGAAATCTGTGAGTGAGTTCAGAGAAGTTAATAAACTCCAACTGCTCTGGCAGTTTGTGCTGGGATATTTGGAGTTTTATTTGATTTATTCTGTGGAGATCTGTATTAGCTTCACCTGCCTTGATGGTGCCTGAAGGTGGAAGAGCTGGCAGTGCCACGTTCCTGCTGTGTTTCTGGAACTCCCTGAAGCCCAAGGAAACGCCCTTAGGGACAACTGGACATGACATTAATTTAAGAGAAGGGATCCCAGTGGAACATCCATGTGGTGAAAATGCCACTGAGTTCAAATGCGGTGGGTGTTGGAGCTCAGGCAGTAGTATTGATGGATAGGGGTTTTCCTCTGGTTGTTGGGGGTTCATGGGTATCTCCAAAAAAAAAAAAAGCTGGAAATTCCCCGTGGTAGCTGTGGAAACTTCCCTTCTCTCCAAAGAACTTCAGGGGTTTACAGCATCCCAGTTAAATCACAGAATGGTTTGGGTTGGAAGGCACCTTAAAGGAAGGAAAGATGGATGTTAATGTGCTTACAAACAATTCGATGGGTGAGGGGTCTTTAGGAGGAATGGGTGTTAATGTCTTTGAAATGGGCCTCAATGTCTGTACCAACCACAAAACCTGGGAATTTTAGCTACGGTTTGAACTCCTGAGCTTTAGGGTTGGACAAATGGGTCCGGGTAAAGTCTGTGGCACTTCTGGATGGTAGATTCCCTGAAGGCAGACTGCCAAAACTGCTGAGTTTTGGGGGGAATGATAGGTTCAGGGGGGGATATGTGGGAGGTGGATTGGGAAGGCTGCACCTTCCTGGTAATGGGGAAAGGAAGAGGGTGAGTTTAGGATAAAAGGAGGCTGTGTCCTCTGAAACCTAGAGAGTGAAACCCCATGGGGGTATGCCCCAGTGGGCTCTCTCTTCATTTATTCCAATCAAATTGCAGAACTCCTCTGTGCCCTTTATGGACACTTGCATTTCACCGAACGGTTTTTTCCACACTATGGGTGGGAACACCTTCACCTATCCCAGGCTGCTCCAAGCCCTGTCCAACCTGGCCTTGGACACTTCCAGGGGCAGCCACAGCTTCTCTGGACCATGCGTGCCAGGACCTCACCACCCTCACAGACAACAACTTCTCCCCATCTAATGCTGCTCTCTGGCAGTTTGAAGCAATTGCCTCTTGTTCTGTCCCTCCATCCCTTGTCCCAGGTTCTGCTCCAGCTCTCTTGGAGCCCCCTGAGGTACTGGAAAGGGCTTTAAGTTTACGATATTTAATTCTCTCCCTTCTGCAGATTTGGCCTGGGCTGACCATCTCTTTCTTGGACAATGCCTGGACACTCCTTGGAGGATGATAATTTCCAAAGATTGTAACATAAGCAACTTTGCTGAGTTCAGAATTAGGAGAGGAGTGGTTATTTAGGCTTTGTAGATGTGATCCTTAGTGTTGGATCCTGGGTGTAGAGGACAGGTCAGGGTCTATTTTATTATTTGCCAGTGCAGATTTAGCTTAGTATTCCTTAGTCTGGATCTACAGGAATGGTGTACTTTTTTTTTTTTTTTTTTTTTTGACAGAACTTAGGGACGTTTAAGACATTTTCAGCAGAGTTTCACTTGATTGGTGAGTCTTGACTGGTAAAACTGACTGGTACAGCAGTAGGAAAAAGGCTTAATGTAATGTATCCTGCTGGGCTGTCATTCAAGAGAACCAACTTTCCAGTTCTCCTTCTGGCTGTAACTCATTGTGTAACTTCAGAGAGTTTTTTTTTTCTTTTTTCCACCTCTTTCTCCAGTCCTCCTTGATTTTTGTCAGCCTGTATAAATTACAGGCATGTTACGCAACGGATGGATACTTCCCAAATGGCTGAAAAATTGGTGACTTCAGCTGTTTACCCCCTTTTTCTTTCTTCCTTTGCAGCTGTTAACAATTGATGACAATTTCTGTGGCCTGGATATGAATGCCCCCTTGGGAGTATCATCCATGGTGCGAGGGCTCCCCATTTTCACAGAGGATGGGGACAGGATGACCTCGGTGATTGCCTACGTCTACAAGAACCACTCCCTGGCTTTTGTGGGCACCAAGAGTGGGAAGCTCAAGAAGGTAAGACCTACATGGCCCTCTAATTCAGATTTTCATGTTTTTATGGTGATTTAACTGTTGCGTCGAGCACGAGCGCGGTCCTTGTCCTAAGGTGCTCCTATTTTGAGGATAAAAAATGGATTGGTTGGCAAAAAAATTGGTTTTCACCCTCGAGGGATAAAGATGATCTGAGAAAGGATAAAATCCTCGTTCCAAGTGGTTATTCATCAGGAAATTAATGCTTCAGAAGTCAAACCACAGTTGCAGATGGACGTGATGTGATTTGCATCCAAGAGAATTTTTGGTGTTCAGACCGTCTCTAATTGAGTCATTGATCACAGGGTGTCTGTGCATGCTGGAGAATATCAGACTGGGGCTGAAGTTTGGGAAACTTCAGGATCCATGCCCTGGAGATCTTTCTTCAGAGCAGCGTGACTGGGTTGTGATCTCACCACGAGCCCAGCACGGGATCGGCGGCCGCCCCGCGGACATCAGGCTGGGGTTTGTGCTGAAGGAAGAGAGTTTACTTCAAAGGAAAGCTGTGTCTTGAGCCATAATGAGCTTTGTGTTTATGGCTAGTGCCACACAAACAGAATGAAGAGTGTGTTTGTGCTCCTCTTTGGGCATTCTCACTGAAGTGTGGCCATTGCATGGCTGGGGTTTGCCTCGTGAAGCCCCCAGAGAGGCTGGGGAGGTGGAATCCTCCACCTGTGGCTTTCCCAAGGAAAGAAGAGTTGTTGGAAGTGGGCCAGTGATGGGCACTGGCTCCATTTCAGCCCCTCTGTGCCAGTCTGACAGTGTTGGTCTGAATGTTCAGCCCAGGAGTGTTGTAAGACATTGCCTGTGCGAGGAGGTGGTGGCTTGGCCATGGTCATGGAGATGGGGGAGAAGCTGGGAAGGGAGGTTGGCCAGAGCCTGGTGATGTTTTAGGATGTTGTTTCCTCTTTAAATCCCTTCTGTGAGTGAAGACTTCCAAGTTGGGGCAAAGTATGGTGATGTGAAAAGATGACCCACTGTGGCTTGTGGGGAGTAAAGGGAGTTGTTTGCATACAGATGCTTAAGGATAGTCTGGAATCTCTGTTTTTTTTTCTCTACCTGTTTCTTCACTTGAAAAGCAAATCTGGGCTGTAAATTCAGATGGCATTTCCCCCATGCTGAGGGAGGAATGGGATCCTGCCCACTGGCAAATGTCTCTGGCTTTGCTCGAAGCAGAGGAAAGACTGCTTGTGCTTTTGAAAATAAAATATGGTAGTTTTTTTTATTATTATTCAGGCATGTGAAAAAGGAGCCAAATGGTTTTAAAAAATGGTCATAATAAAAATAATCTCCTCCCCTGGCTAATTAGCTTTTGCTTCCCTGTCATGTGTGATATCATAATAAACTGTTCAGTTCTCCAGTCAGTCTCTTGGAGGGAGGGAAATGGGGCAGCTGAGATCTGAATGGTAAATATCAAAAAGACCTAAACTCTTAATGACTGCTCTCCCTGCACTCACAAGCTTTTGGTTGGGGGTTTTTTTTGGCTTCAGGAGAAGAAAACTCAGCCACAGTTCTGTCTTTGCCTTTGCAGGTCACACTGCAGAGTCCAAGATCTGATTCCTTTTTCCTTTTTAATAGGGGAAAATAGGAGAGAAAGCTTTCTGTGCTTTATGAAGTGTGGTGGGGACAGCCTTATAGGGTAAAGAATGAGCAGAGGAGAGCAGAAGTGGCTGGTGTAACTTGAGAAAGGGAATAAAATTAAGCTTTTTCCTAACATGCTGAATATTCTACTTGTGGTAGTTCCCGCTTTGGGTGAGTTGGAGCAGGGCTGGAGCCTTGGGCTGAGATTTGCTCAGGTGAATGAACTTCCCCCAAAGAGGCAGAACACAAAGCAGAATGAGGCTCCCCTAACCATGTGTGATTGTTTTGGACCAGTTGATCCAGACTCCTGGAAACCTTTAGGTCCAATCTTTGCTGTGTCTACTGCAATCCCTGACTCTGCTCCTCACATTGTTCCCCTCCAGTGCTCCTGAGGGTGTCTGACTCTGGGACAGCAACCTGTCACCTCCTCTGGGTTGTTTGGCACTCAGGACTTTCCCTTGATGCCCCTTGGCCCCGGCCATGGCCCTTTGGAATGCTTTGTTTTCCACCTTGGCTCATCAATCAGGTGCTGCCAGTAAAATGCTGCATTGGGATTGCAGCTCCAGCATAATCCATTATTTCAGCACGAAGTTTGTTTTCTGTTCAAAAACACCGGTAAATTGGAGTAAGCCTTGTAGGATTAGATGAAACTCCTGGACATATCCCAGGAGCTGGGATTTCTTTTTTTTTTGTGCTGTTGGCTCCTACCAGGCATGTCACACTCTACTGCTTCTCCTGGTGCAGTGCAGCTCCTTGGTCAAGCTGCAGTGGAATTTTTGGGATGGCATGAAAGAAGAGTTCTGAGATCATCCCCAAGATAGCAGGATTTATTCTGTGCTTGGAAGACTCACTGCAAGTCATTACAAGATGCTTTTGGAGAAACTTTGCTGCTTTTTTTTTCCCTGCAGTTTCAGTATTTTCCTCTCTGTGTGTGGTTTTTTTTTATGTATGAAAGTGGCAGACTGTGTATCAGATTTTGATTTATGTGATCCATGAATGCTCTGCAAAATACCCACAGTCATAAAGCAATATCTGTTAGTTGATATACAAATGTCACATGTGTCAAAGGAATTTATCCAGTGGCACACACAACTGAAGGAAAATATTGTGCTTTACGGGAACATATCATTAAAATGAATACTAGCAGAGTATCAGGAGTCTGCCCATGTAACCAAGACAACAAAGAGGAAAAGAAAAGGAAAAACCAAGATAGAGATAGGGTAGGGAAAGTGTGAGTGAAACCGAATGACACGCTTGGCCCCAGCTATTTCACTGCCCCAGGCAAAATACATTTTGCAACTCCTGCTCATTCACAAAGCTCCCTGTGCAGTCCATCAGGAAGGAACAGAATAATGTGCTGGAGAAATATTCCCTCCAATACTGCTGCCTTGTCCACGGCACAGCCCTATTGTATTTGTGGGGTTCCCAGACGAAGGAGGGAATGCTGAATCTGACTCCATGTTCTCAGAGGGCTCATTTATTATTTTATGATACTATATTACAGTAAAGAATACCAAACTAAACTATACTAAAGAATACAGAAAAGATACTTACAGCAGGCTAAAAAGATAATGAAAACTCATGATTCTTTCCAGAGTCCTGACACAGCTTGGCCCTGATTGGCCAAAGAGTGAAAACAACTCCCAGCAGAATCCAATGGAACAATCACCTGTGGGTAAACAATCTCCAAACACATTCCACATGTGAGCACAACACAGGAGAAGCAAATGAGATAAGAATTGTTTCCCTTTTTCTCTGAGGCTTCCCAGGAGAAGAATCCTGGGCCAAGGGATTTTTTCAGAGAATGCGAATGTGACACAGCTCAGCCCTGCAGAATGAAGAAATAAATAGGATAAAAATGAAGAGCTGTGGAAAAGGAAAAATTCTCCCTGTCCATATAAAAACTGTTGTCCTTGCATTAAAGGTTTCATGGGGATTTGTGGGTTCTTGAAGATGGAGAAGGGTGGCCCAGGGAGGAGAAGTTCAGTCCTTTGCTCTGCCAGGAACTTCTGGTGTGTCTCCACATTCATTTTCTCTTCTGCAAATGGCAGGGAATGTTTTCCTTGCTGGAGAAAATGAATGGATTAAGTGCTGTGAGGTGTGTGATCACCTCAGCAGCTTAATTCAACAGATCAGGTGGGATGGAAAACCAGCTCCTGACCCACTCGTGGCATTGTTTAATGAGAAATATTTAATCTTGCTGTGCTTTGGTTAGAACCCAGTGTCTGATTTCCTCCTGTGCTGGCTGTCCCATGTGTCTGTACCACTTTGGTGGTGAGTGTTCCCACAGTTTAGTGCAATCCAGGGATCCTGATGGGCTTCCTTGGCTGCAAAGCCCTCTGCACCCTGGGGAATGCTTCAGGCAAAACCCGTGGCTGAAATGCAGTTGGCAACCCTGGGAGTTTTTAGTGATTTCTTCCAGGAGATGCAAAAAGAAACTTGAGTTTAGCAAATGTCTGGTTTGTCTCCCTGCAAACAGCACAAGAGCTATTCCTGGGACTGTTCTCCCTACAAACCACTCTGCCGTAAAACAACCAGGTGCCAAAATTCCCTGGCTTTTTATTTTTTCCTTTGCTCACTCTCTCATTCACACTCAGCTCTTCAGTGGCAGGAGAAAAGCAGGGATGTACCCATGGGCTTGGTTTGGAATTTTCCTGGTGCCACTTATACCTGGCATCACTAAGAGAGTGTAGCAGTATTCCATATTCCTTGTATTCCTTCCCCAGGCGTTTAACTTATGGGTCACTACTTCTGTAGAGATCATTTCCAGTCAAAGAAACACAACTTAGCTGCAATAATTCTGTGTGGAGATGCAGGTGTAAAGGGGGAGTTGAGCTTACAAAAATGTCAGCCTGGGATTAGCCCCAGGAATTGCATTTCTCACAAAAAAAAAAAAAAAAAAAAAGATCTGGTCTATTTTGAAATGTTTATTTGATAATGGAGTAGTAGAAATTTTCATTTATTTGAAACTTCCCTGTAAGAAATTGTTTGGTTTCTTTTTATTCCATCCAAATATTTCACTCAAAGCCTTTTCTGTGCTGAATTCCTTGCAGAGAGAGAACTATAACTTAAAAACCAACACTTTCACTCTGCGGGCTGTATTTAATTTTTCATCAAATCCAATCAGTTTGTGGTCTTTGAAGGATTTTTAGATGTGGAATGTCATGTGGGGTGAAGGTTTTCTTTTGGATCCAACAGCTCTGAAATCTGGCCAGCACTTGCAATCAGGTATCAACTCTGTTTAGGAGAACATCCCCAGTTCCATGGTTATCCATCCTCTGGATAACCCAGAGCCCTTGGGACTCTGCTTTCCTTGGATCCAGAGACACCACAGGGAGAATTTAAAATCAGAGAGCTCAGATTTGCAGTTCTCATTTTGGCCCCTCTCACTGTGGTGTTGGGGA